AAATGATCATCAATTTCCAGTGCATTAATCAAACATTCTTCATCAAATCATCATTTCCCATCCACGTCTAATTCTTCAAAAGCATCAATATTTTTCATTCCCCACCTTTTTTCTAGAACTTGTTTCCTTAACCCACTTCGAAATTTCTACAAACCCAACACCCGAATAATCCCCCAAAAAACCCTAAAATTTAACTAAGAATTTAAACAAGAAATCAATCATTTCCTTATTTTCTTCAATAACCTTTCTCCAACCCTAATTTCCCTAATACATTAAAAAATTCTACCAAAAAAATTAAAAGAAACAAAGGTCATCAAGATTAAAGGACACCCAAAAGATAAACAATTAAAAACGAAGAAGCAAATTCATTACCACATACTTCCCCTATACTTGAGCGTATAAGGGCCACTCTCAAGAGCTCGATCGAAATGGCTATGAACTTATGTTTCCCCTTCCCACTTTGGTCCAAAAGAGTTAACTCGAAAAGGGCTCTAACATCGGTGCCTTCGCTAGCTAAAGCCACGAAAACCGAGACATACGTGGAGTGATCCTCTGGGTTTTTACCATCGGGGTAAAGTAAATTGCCCATTGATAACCTCCGACGGTGAAGCTCTCGCTGGCTATGTGTTTGCCTACGCCCATGCCTTTGGCTAAGGAATAACCTTGATTGTGAACCGGTGGGAGCCATTGACGGTCTGGGTTACGGACCGGGAGCTCGTGGGCGAGCCCAAGGGAGAAGAGGGCATGGGATTTTGGGGGGGGGGTTTAAGGGTTTCTGGGATTTGGGTGACTTTTGTCGGGGAATGATTTTGATTGTTTTGGAAGAATTCGTTTGCATTTTTCTAAATTTAATTCGATTTGTTTTATCACTTCATGATTAATGGTGAGTGGGACGACGACCATCATTCACTCGGCCTCGAACGCTGTGAATAGCTAAAACATTTTGCGTAAAATACAATTTTAGTACCTAAACTATTAGATTAATTCTTTTTAATATCTAAACTTTATTTTTTCAAAATCATACCTAACTCTTAGTTTTATATCGTTTAGTACCTTATCGTTAAAAATTTAACTAGTGAGCTTCACTTGGCACTTTATTTTTGGATAAATTGCATCATTCACGATTCAATTATCTTTTTTCACTCCTATTTTGATCATTAAAGTTTAATTGTTTTTCCAATTTAATTACTTATCTTTCAAATTACTTCTAATTTAATCACTCTAATTTTTTATTTTTAATAAAATGATAATAAAAAAATTATATTACAAAAATTATTAATAAAATAAATTAGAGTGATTAAAATATGAGTAATTTAAAATGTGAGTAGTTAAATAGAAAAATTTTAAACTGTAGTATCAAAATAAGAGTAAGAAGATAGTTGAATAATGCAATTTATCCATAGAAAATGCAGTGCAGATAAGTTTTGAACGGGTACTAAAATGAAACAAAAATTAAATATTAAATGTGATTTTGAAAACATTAAAATTTAGGTACTAAAATAGACCAAAACTAATAATTTAAGTACTAAATGCATAATTGATCAAATTAAGGTTTAATTCTGCACCAGTCCTTGTGCTCCATAATCATTTGAAATCCAATCCTTCTACTCTACTTATATATGGGATGAATCAATTTGATTCGATTGTAATTAAAATGCGTTAAAATTGAGCTGTTTTATTTTTCAAAATACATTGAATAAATAATTTTGATTTTTTAAACTTGGATTTAGAGCTGGGTATATGGGGTAAGGCCCACGGGCTACCCGTATAACTCGCAGCCCGTGCGGGCTTCGGGTCTAAAAAAATAAAGCTCGTTTAAATTGTAGGTTTTTAGCCCGGACCGTTAAATCCGTGGGTTTAATGGGTATACCCGCGGGTAGCCCTCTTAATTTAATTATTTTTTTCAATTTATTTTATGTTTTACGGAAGACAATTAACGTTTAGCCCAATTCACGTTTTATGTGCATTTTAGCCATAGTCCAATTCAAGTTTTATGTGCACTGAAATTTGAAGCCCAATTCACGTTTTAATTTGATGATATCCAATTTTGAAGTTCGAACGTATTAATTATACCTATGGTAACGTAATATGATAACATAAGCAAAAAGATTTCCATCTTTTTATATATGTATTTACCATTTATAATTAATATCATCAATATATATATAAATAAGCCATAAAACGTTTATACTCCAATAATTAATCATAAGAAAAACTATATACATATACGTTAAAAAATCAGAAAAAAAAACAAATCAAAGTATTAACCATGTATAAATATAATAATTAAATTAAAAAGGTAAAGTAACATAATATGCAAATAATATATAAAACTTGAGGCAGTGAAAAAAAACATACATAAAATTAGAGTGCAAAATTAAAATAATAAACTATCTTTAAGGATTATATTGCATTAATTCAAAAGTGGGTGGAGCCCTTACACGATTAGCACATTAAAATTTGTTATGGTTGCCCTAAATCCCTAAAATACGTTGTTTTGTATGACTTATATTATATATACGCCGTTATAAAATTTTAGGAATCATAATCTCATTTTTTTTTGTTTCTCTTCTCCGTCGTTTCTCTCTATCTCCCCAACTTCTCTCTTTTTTCACATAAACAGTAAACGGGTAAGCCCGTTTAGTCCGCGGGTTAAATGGACGGGCTCGGACCTTAGAATTCAAGACTGTTTATAATTACAGGCTTTTTAAACCGCTCCGTTTAAACCCGCACAGTCAAAACACGAGAGCTAAACGGGCGGATAGCCCGTATACCCAACTCTACTTGGATTGAGTAAAGCTTTAACAACTCGAATGAATCCAAAAATAAATTAGTGAAAATAACCCTTCGATCCTCGTTAGATTTGAAAATGAAAAACGATACCTCTAAAAGGTTAATAAAATTTAAATTATATTAGAATCTAGAAATTCCAAATTTGTATAAAAAAATATAATATATATTTATAAAGAATCTAAAACATTCTAGAAAAGATGTTAAAATCATATAAATAAATGATAAATGTGAAGAACTAAATAAGTAAAATACAACAATAAATTTATCATATTATAATATTTTCTCTTATTTTACTTTAGAGAACGTTACATCCAGTGAAACATTAAGTATTTGAATCCAACTTATTATTATATAAATTATTTCTTAGATTTATTATGAGTTTAGATTTTAATATATCTCATTTTTCAATTTGATTATGGTTTTTATTGATGTGATTCTAGTTATAGTTATTTAATTAAATATTAATTGATTATGGTCGTGGGATCGAGTCCCACGGTGGACAATTCATAATTCTGACTGTTGGAGGTCTTCTACGGAAGCTGTTCTCAACCTGGCGTTGGGGGCAGCCTAATACCTTACATCTCCCTCACCTCATTACATATGAGAATAGGGTCAGTTAATTTTTTATATTATAAATGGTCGTTCAATGACTAAAAATTGATTGTACAAGACATTAAAACAATTGAATATACATCTTATGTTATAATAAGAACAATATCGATCAATTAAAAATTGTAAATAATAATCTAATGCTTTTTCTTAATAGTTTAAGATGATTTTAATATTTAGGGTAAACTATTTTAAATACCATCAACTTTTAAGCGTCGACTCGTTTATATCGTCAACATTTTAATTTTGTCAATTTTAACACTAACGTTTACTTTTAAACGCAATTATATCATTCCGTCGTTAATGATTTAACAACATGATGACATGGTAGCTCTGTACCGTGACGTTGTTGACGTGAATGCCTAAAAGGACACAATTTTGTTGAAATAAATAAAATTAATTTTCTAAAAAAATGTAAATTCCATAAAAAAAATCCATAATTCATAATCCCTAAATTCACCAACCATCGTTATCGATAACACGTCATTGCCACTGCATTGAAGTCTCTTCCTCTCGCTGTGCACATTATTCACCATTTGTCCATTGATTGGTCGCGTTCGTGGTTCGATTAGAACATTTTATATTCTTGTTTTGACAATCGATTAGCGCATTATTCTTCGATTTTCGACTATGGGAAAATGGGTAATTGGTGGTAAGGGTTTGTCGACGAAAGTGGTGAGCGTTGACCGTTGATTTGACGGTAATAATGGGTGAAATTAGGGATTCAATGATCAAAATCTAACCGTCGATAAAATAAATGAACAAAATTTAATAAATTAATAAAGTAAGTAATCAAAATATAATGTTTTAAATTTAGTGAGTAAAATTATACAAATATAAAAAAAATGATCAATAGTTTACTCATAATTTTATTAGTGTTAATACCTTTCAATTTAATAATAAAATATAAAATAAATAACTATTATAATGAAATTTAATTTATATCAAATTATAATGATATTTAATTTATATCAAATTAAATTAAAAAAATAAGGGTAAACTACACCATATACCATCAAACTTTAGATGTTGTATTGTTTATACCATTAAACTTTTAATTTTGCCAATTATAGTAGTGAATTTTAATTTTCGTTTCAATTATACCGCTGGGTCATTAAATCATTAGCAGTCAAATCAAAATGACGTCGTTTTGGTGATGTGTCTACGTCGATAGTTGTCAACCATGTCGACATTCATTAGCCACGTCATCGTGTCGCTAACGATTTAATGATCCAATGGTATAATTGAAATAAAAATCAAAGTTCAGTGTTATAATTGGCAAAATTGAAAGTTCAGTGGTATAAACGATACAACGTCTAAATTTTAGTGGTATAAACGATAAACATCTAAAGTTTAGTGGTATCTGATTTAGTTTACCCAAAATATAAAATAAAAGACACCCAACGAAAGCGAGGGCTTAATCTTAGCTCCTTCCTCATTTTTATCCTTTAAAGTTTAACCAAATTAGGCAAAGTGGAAATCCACACACAATAAAGTAATTTGCTTAGTAAACGCAAATGCGTAAATAGCAATCCGAGAACATATATATTTTTCATTGCAACATAAAATTTAGATTAAAAAACCAGAAAAGGAAAACGATGTCGGGAATATTAGATAAGGTGAAAGACATGATTGGAGGGGATAGCGATGAGGAGAGCAAGGGGAAAAAGTATAACCATCACAAAGATGATGAAGACGAAGATGAAGGCATAATCGATCAGATCAAGGACATAATCATCGGCGATAAAGACGGCGACAAGCAGCATCAAAGAAAAATCAAAGAAGATAGACACCATAAGAAAGATATAGACGATAAACATCACAAGAAAAGTGATCCTAAGCAGAAAGAAGAAGGGCTAATGGGTATGCCCAAAGATAAATTCCATGGTGATGATGAGGATCGTGATCGTAAACATAAAAACGATGATAAACAACATAAGAAAGATGATCATAAGCACAAGGAAGAAGGGATAATGGGTATGTCAAAAAACAAATTTCACGGTGACGATGATGATGATCGTGATCGTAAAGATAAAGGCGGCGATAAACATCAAATGAAAGATAAATACAATAAATATCACAAGAAAGACAAAGAGGATAAGCACAACAAAAAAGCTGATCAGAAATACAAGGAAGAAGGTTTAATAGGTATGATCAAAGACAAATCCTACAATGACAATGCTAATCATGACCATTGTGATAGTAGTCGTAGTTGTGACAACAATCGAGATCGTGATCCCGATCCCGATAATAGTCATGGTTATTGTGATAGTGGTAGTGATCTTGATAGTAACCATGGTAGCGATGGAGAGAGGAAGAAAAAAAAGAAGGGAAAGAAGTATAAAGATGACCATAGAAGTGGCAGTGACAGTGATCGTGATCATTAGATCATCGCCATAGTCGTCGACTAACAATATAAATCATCAGCATGAGCTCGTTACTCCAACTATCTCTCTTTGTTTTCATCAAGAGGATATGAATGGAATATATTGATATCATGGCAATAAGGTATTTCTTTTATTGAAAAGATAATTCATATTTTTTTATCACATGTGAAATACATGTTAATACTAATTAATTAATTTATTTTTAAATATGTTATTTTTTTACGATGTGTTAAACATGCATTTAGTTTATTACTATTTAATAAAATGTTCTATCTTATAGGATTAATGTAACATTATATCGATCTAGAAGGGGTTGGTGGGGGTCATGATAAAATTATAGGTTAATAAAAGATAAAATTGTTTTTTTCCGTTAAATAGATAAAAATTATAAAATAATATATTAATGAATTTATATTTTAACTCCTATGAAATTTATAATTAGTATTCGACTCCTAAAAGAATGGTTAGTGCTGAAACATCTTTAAAATCGAATTCTTTTAAAGAGATTCAATGATTTGGGTTTTTTTTTAAATTAAAAAATATGAAGTTGAATGAGTCATTACCAATCTTTGTTTAAGATGAGATTGAATTACTAAAAAATTGTCATTTTATTGAAATTTGTTTTTTTAGGGGAAAGTTATCAAAAATTAAAAAAATTGTGGTTCTTGTAACCAAAAAATAAATTCGGGAGCCGATTATATATGATAAAAGATTAATACTCCCACAATGTCTTTTCGATACCTATTTAATTACATCATTATCTTAGAATGAAAAATTATGAAATCAAGTTTAATTTAATTAATGATACTTACATAATAAATGAATTCCAGTTTTATTAATTCAAAAATTTTAAAACCAAAAAAATAATATTTTATTATTTTCAATTACTAAGAAAAAGTCTCTAATGTCTTAGATGTTAGGATAACCATTTCTCTCATCATTCAAACTAAAGAAACATTACTATTTCCCTAAAAAAAATTATATTACCAATCCGTTAATAAAAGAATCTTCGATCAATCTAGTATAATAAAATAAATAAACATAAATATAGTATTTCGGGTGGTCCCGTGTTCACGTTTCGACTTGAATCGTGTGATAGATTTATCACCGATTTTTTTGAATTAGGTAGATTAGACACCTAAATTTTACCCATTTATCGGATGTTTTACCAGAGATTTATCGTATTCGAGGGTCGTTTACAAACGAGAAAACATGAGCACCCTCAAATTGCTCTTTCGGTATAATTTGATTATCTAATTATCTTAATATCAAAAATTAAAATTAAGATAAAAAATTAAATATTCGGTCTAAAATAACTTACCTTTGACGAGATTTTGAGATTTTAGAATAATTTTTTAAGAGAAAACAAAATTAGTAAAAAATAAAATAATAATAATAATAATAATAATAATAATAATAATAATAATAATAATAATACAAAACAAAATAAGGGCAATGTACAAAAATAAATATAATAAATAAAATTAAAAAGGATTAAATTAAATTATTACAAGTGATGACCGAAATGAATTATACATGAAAATATGATGACTAAAATAAATTACACATAAAAGTAAAAGGGAGTGTGGAAATAATTTAATTAATTGCCCGTCCAGCTCAATTAGTAAAGCGCAAGGCTCTTAACCTTGTGGTTGTGGGATCGAGTCTCACTGTTGACAATTCATAATTTTGACTGTCAGAGGTCTTTCACGGAAGCTACTCTCAACTTGGCGTTGGGGGCAGCCTACTACCCTACCTCCCCTTTACCCCATTACATATGAGAATAGGGTCAGCTAATTTTTATTTAAATACCCCAAAACTTTTCTTTTTTCTCATTTTCATTCATCCCTTAAATACACTTAGAGATATACATGAGTTGGGTTCGGCCAACATGACCCGATCAAAAAATTTTACATCCTTCACCTGATTTAATCTAACCTGACCCGAAAAACATATAAGCTCAACCTGACCCGAACCCGACCCGATTTTTTAAGATAAAATCCGAATCATATATGGCTTGAAATAATAAAAAATATTATTTTTATTCAATAAAAATAATGATTTAGTTAGAAAAAATAATATATAGAGGGATATTATTGTAATTATTTCTAAATATATAAGATAAAATTATATTTTTCAGATCGGATCAAGCATTTTTATCCTAAACCCGAATTTAACCCGAATATCACCTTTAAAAAATCCGGACCAACCTAACCTTAACTTATTTTTTTTTATAAAAAAACCTGACCTAATCGGGTAGGGTCCTTCCCATCCCTAAAGTCACTCATCCTCAAGCTTTCAAAATTCTCTCGACTAGGGCTGTAAATGAGACGAGACAGATCGTGAACTACTCGAGATCAACTTAATTAAGGCTCGATAAATACTTGGATTGAATGGACTCGAGCTCGAATCGAATTCTTAACGAGCCGAAACGAGCTACTTGATACTCTACTTGAAAAGCTCGTGAGCAGTTCGAAAATATAATATATAAGATTATATTTTTTATAAAAAAAATTATTAAAATTATTAATATTTATGTATTGATTTTTTAAAAAAAATACATTAAGATTTTAATACATTTAAAATTCAGGTTCGAGTTTAAGTTCGAGTTTGAGGCTTCAATCGAGTTAAGTTTAAGAATTGTTTTTCTTCATTTCGATCATTTTCGAGCTGCTCACGAGTTTCAGTTCAAGATTTCGAGTTCGAGTCGAGATTGAAAATTTTAAGCTCGCAAGTTTTCGAGTCGAGTTCAACAATACTCGAACTTGACTCGGCTCGTTTACACCCCTACTCTCGACCTCTTAAGCCAAAACCCAGAACACGATCCTGAGCTCCACCAGCCATCGCACAGTAATCCCTCTGACCACCGCTCTGTCCATCGTCCATGGTGGACAGAAACCTAAACTCCTAGCCAAAAAGAATTCTCTCAACCTCGTGAACCCAAATACGACACCTAAATTCTAAAAAAAAAACACCATTCAATATAGATCTAACTCGAAAGCCCTCAGTTTTTATTTTTTTTCTTTTCTGACCATAGCTCTTTGGTTCCTGGCGGCGTTTCAGTGCTCTGGTGGTCTTCCTCGAGTGATAAATCCCCTCCATGAAAGAAGCTAAGTTCTCTTCGTTTTTTGGTTTTTTTTTTTGTATTTCGAATGTTCTCCTCACCGAAAGCCCAAGCCTTTTCTTTTGTTTTGCATGGGCTTTTATAGCCACGGGTGGGGTGGCTTGTTCCCTTTAATTCGGTGACCGTAAATCCCTACACGGTTGGGATTTGTCGAAGATTTATGGGATTATTCCTTTTTTTTCTTCTGATTTCCCCTGGGTTACCTATTTTCATGTTTTTTGTTCGATTTGATTAAATAAGAATAATTCAAAATATTATTATAACTAAATAAGAACAATTTTATTGTTTAAATGAGATTTAATTAATATATCAAATAAGTTTAACAAAATATAAGTCAAAATTGAGGTGAGGGATTAGTTCCCATTGTTGGGTGAGGAAATGGGACAGGAAAACGTAACCATCTGGGATTGGTGGTGAAAAGAAGTCTAGAGACCCAGCCCTTATATTTGACTCAATAATATTGGGTTGGTAGTTTTAGGTGATTTCTTTTTTAAGGAAGTATAAAAAGACAATTTTAGTCTAATCCAACTTGTGAATAACATGAAAATTTGGGTTATACTTTGCATTCTCAACAACCCTCCAAATTTACAACGTGAGATGCAACTTGTGGACTACTAAATTACAATGAATCCCAGGGAATGTAACAAGGTGGCAGACAAACTTACAAGGCTGGCAGACCATGTCTCTTTGAACGTCGCTCTTTTTGACGCTGCCTCTCCGGATGTTCTCAAACTGGTAGAGTGTGATGTTTATGGTCACTCGTATTTAAGAGTTTAATGTAATCTCCTACGCCTCTTTTCCAATTCAAAAAAAAACCCCTCCAAATTTATGGGTTCCACCAAGAGAAGAACAATTTTTAAGGTTTTCAATGTAGGAGCGTATTTGGTAATAATTCAATAACAATGTAATAATTTATACCATTTATAAACTTTAGATTGAATTGATGTCATAAGATAGGGATAGAGTTTTAAAATTCGGGTTTCAAAACCCATATTTAGGTTTTGATACTTAAAAAATTCACAAGAAATTGGTTTTGAAATCTATACGTGCTATTAATGAATCTTAATCTTAATCTTGATTGTCTTAATATATGTGACCTTAAGAGTAGCATTATTTTTCTTAAGTATATTGCTTATAGATATGGCTTTATGCCTCACAAATTATTCTTGATTGAGACTCACATAAAAATTATTATCAGAGTCAAATATTCATTTCTCGTTTGTTATAAAGTCTTCACTTGATGCTACTAAAAAGTTTGCCACTATCATAGCCTTCAACTATGTCAACTTCCTCATATTTATTTATTGTTTTCCTTACAAATTGCATCCTAGAACCTTTTCCTTAAGTCTCTCTACAAAGACCTTCACTTGAAAGTCAGATCCGATCACAAGATGTTTTATCTTTTTGTATGAAGTTAAAGAATCATAAATTTTATCAGTTGTGAGAGATTCACAACTATACATAATTGTATCTTTAAAGGTCGAATAAGAAAGGGTAACGAATAAAGCAAAATTAACCCTAAATTCTCTTTATCTCACTTAACCTACTCTCCAAATTTGAGATAATTTGGTTAAATAAAATTAATTGACCTACCAAAGTTGTACCTACCTTTAATCAAACGATAAGAATAAAGACATTGCTTCAAATGCAACTTGCTAGTTTGGGTTTTTGAGATATAGTTTCTTTAGTTTTAACCTTGAGATGACTATCCAGCTCAGTTGGTAGAGCATAAGGTTCTTAACATTGAGGTCGTGAGATCGAGTCCCACGGAGGGCATTTCATAATTTGGAGGTCTTCTACGGAAGCTGCTCTCAACCTGGTGTTGGGGACAACCTACTATCTTACCTCCCCCTTACCCCATTACATATGGGAACAA